GTCAGGAAGTTCTCTGAAAATAAATTTATCCTACATTAATTTTTCATGTGTTTTTTTTTAAAGGTAAATGAAGGTTGTTCCGTGTATTGTTTATTGCAGAACTCTGTTTTAAAAAAGAAAGAAAAAAATCCCTGCAAGTTCTGAAAGAGATCAAGCTTCAACCACGTCAGAAAAAGTTATGCAAAAGTAACTTAAAAGTACCGTAACGCATTACTTACCATGAAAAATAACTAAGTAATGCAACTAGTTTTTTGGGGAGTAACTCAATATTGTAAGGCATTACTTTTCCCAACACTGGTTAACAAGCATGAATTTGTTAATATTGAAAAGCATGAATTTGATTAATAAATGCTGTAGAAGTAATGTTCATACTAAGTTCCGGCACCTATAGTCTGCAGCTCTGCACAAGACGTTTGGCCCTAGGAGAAATGGTCATGCCCAACTGAGCCTGGTTTCTCTCAAGGTTTTCTTATCCTTTACTTTTGCCAATTGGTGAAGCAGCTGTCGCCACTGGCTTCGGGATCTGTAGAGCTGCGCATCGATGGATTTGCTCTTCAGTGTTTGAACTCTCAGCAGTGAATAGTAAACCACACTGAACTGAACTAAACTGAACTGGACTTAAACTCTGAAAACTGAACTGACACTGTTTCAACTCACAATAATATTCAATGTGAAGCTGCTTTCACACAATCTACATTGTAAAAGAGCTATAGAAATAAAGATGATTTGAAATGAATAAATTCGTGTTAGTAAATACATTAATGTTAACGAATGAAACTTTATTATAAAGTGTGACCTTTACCTCTGGTAAGCTGAATTACCTTTATTTTGCTCTGACACAAATCGATGGTGTGGAACCCAGCATTTTTTAGTTTAATAGCAAAAAAAAAAGATGGATTGGTCATTTTGAGTATTTTAAGACACGTTTCCATCAGATTTGGCTGAAATCAGTGGTTAATCCATTAATCCACAATTGGTAAATAACTAAATGAAACATAACACTCAGATTTGGGAGACCTTGCATGTTTTGAAGTGCACAAAAAGGATTGTCTCTATTTCAGCAGATCTTTGGAAGAATTTCAGAGGTCCTGCTGAATGATTCAAGTCATGGAAAAGATATTTTTAACAAAGCTGTTCTATGTTCCTTATTCTGGGAAGGATTAGAGGACAAATCTGATTTGGCCCTACCTAAGAACAGTGGCTATGATACTTTATGAATAGCAGAATTTAACCATGTAACAGATTATTGTAGCTGATTGAAACTATAACCATGAAAAAAAAAAAACATTTTATTTTTAATTACTTATTAAAACAGATGATAATTGAATATATATATATATATATATATATATATATATATATATATATATATATATATATATATATATATATATATATATATATATAATTACTGTACTCAAATGGCCTCCACAGTCACCAGATCTCAATCTGATAGAGCACCTTTGGGATGTGTGAAAGAGGAGATTCGCATCATGGATGTGCAGCTGACAAATCTGCATCACATCTGTGTAATGCTATCATGTCAATATGGACCAAAATCTCTGAGGATTATTTCTAGTACCTTGTTAAATCTATACCACAAAGGATCACGGCAGTTCTGAAGGCAAAGGTGGGTCCAACTAGGTACTAGTAAGGTACCTAATAAAGTGGCCAGTAGGTGTATATTAATATTGTTATTTGCTGTTGCAGTCTTGGCCTAGTCACTCTGTAATTCCCATTCCCAAATCGGTCTTATTTTATATTGGAAGTAGCTTTAAAACACACAGCATTTGAGCTTAATAAAGCATCAACTTCTACAGCTCCATTCACAGACACGATGCATCCCAATACCTGCCCACACCGCAGCTGATGTCCGAGAATTATTGCTTTTGGAAACTTAAACCCAGTAGGAGAGCTCTCATACACATAATTACACTCGTTTTAAAAGCAGATTATAGGATTGACGCGTAAATACGAGGTTGCCTGTGACGTCTGTCAAAGCCAGTGTCCGAGTAAAGTTAGAAACGCGAAATGTAAACGAATCAGCGAATGGAAAAAGTCAAAGTGGAAACTCTAAACATTTGCTCTTCAGAAGTCGGAAAACAGGTGCAAACAAGCTTCCCTTTAATCGGACTCTCATCGCTGGGCCAAACAGAGCTCTCTTTTCTTTTCAGCGCTGTCTAACAGAGGGGTATCCCTCGCTCAGGACGCCTCCGTTGCATAAAACAAAAAGACAGACCGAGGAAACTATGAGTGTTAGCAAAGGGAAAATGAGGAGAAAGGAAAGAACAAGACATACAAACAATGTCAGCACCGCACAAAACAATCTTCCTGCTTACTACTTTGGTCTTGGTTTTCAGTACAAACAGCTGAACTGAATTTTAAATCGAGATGAATTTACTTTAAGCTTTTAACAAATTAGGTCTTGTTTTTTTAAACAAATTGATCAAAGTTTAAGACTCAAAACCTTTATTTTTATTCAGTTGAACACAAAAGAAGATATTTTTTTAATTAATGTTGAAAATCAGTAACCATTGACTGAAAGTTAATGGTTGCCGGTTTCCAGATTTCTTTTAAAATATCTTTTAGGTTCATCAGGAAAAAAAGGACATTAAATACACTCAAAAAATGGCATTTGCTGTTTGTTTTCTTATTTAAAATGAGCTTAAACAACACAATTATTGTGCTTTTTAGGGGGACATTTTAACTATTTTGTGTTCAAACCACTTAAATCTGTAAAAACTGTTGGGTTAGCTTAGGGTTAGGTAAGTAAAAGTGAGTTTCACCTGCATTAATTCCACCCTCACTAGAAAATTCAATCTGATTGGCCTTGACCTGTACAGCGCTCAGCATATATAAGTGCACCCCTCACAAATCTATCTTTTAAATTCATATTTAATAGGAAGCTATACAAATCTGAAGCTACTCTAACAAAATAACTTACTATAACGGTCCAAAAACTAGTACACCCAAATTAATGTTATAGAAAAACAATGAATGAATGAATTTAAAAAAATAGGAAAAATCAAGAGAAGCAAAAATAAATAAATAAATAAATTGTTGAAATTTTGTAGGTTTTATTGATATTTTTTGCAATATTTAGCTTGAATTAAATTGTATTATCTTTTCATTTCTAAACATGTTTGGTGACAAAAATATTGTTTTAATAAATGTACCTGTGTTATTCGTATGCACCAAAATATTGCCAATATTCACTAAGAAATGGGTACAAATATTAATTTTCAAAATGGGGTGTACTCAATAGGCTGAGCACTGAACAAGGTTGTATGGGTACTTAATTCCTTCATGTTGTTCAAACACACATCGATAGTGGACCCTGCGTTAGATCAGTTTTCCTGAGCATTTGGCTGATTTACTAATACGCAGAATCAATAGAAAACAAATGGCTGATACAATTTCATGAATATGCTAATTAGTCCATGACATCATCAGGTCGCATTTAGTGACATTTCATGCAGCCAAATTCTCAGGAAAAACTGATTTTATTTATTAGTAAGCTAGTAAAGTTTATTTATAAAGCACATTTAACTGACCAAAGTGCTAAACAAAATAACACACACACTGTGTATTATTACTTTTATTGTATATATTTTAATAAATTTTTCTTTTTTACTAAACCTAAAAGAAGGCATTTAAGAAGATAATCTAAACTCAAAACAGGTTACAATTAGTTCTAAATTCAGCAGCTAGAATTCAGGACCCGTGCAAGAAAGCACAACCCCTATTTTGAAAAATCTGCACTGGCTTTGTGTAAGTTTTCAAATAGATTTTAAAAACCTCATGTTTGCGTCCAAGGCCTTGAATGGTCTTGCACCATAATATTTATCTGATATTTTAATCCCATACATTCTAAATTCCTTCTGAAATATTCTTCTAAAATGAGCATTTTTATCAAGCTGCTGTGTGTAGGTTCAGTCATTTCACTTTTATGGCAAAGATTAAGTTCTTTTCATGGTCTTCAAAGTGAAATAGCTCAACATAAACAAAGGAAGCAAAATTTTTCTATGGAAATTTAGGACCACACAGGTTTTTGTTTTTTTTTTTGCACAGGTTTTCACATATGAACTTATATCTTTTGTGTTTAGCAGAAGAAAGAAACTCAAGCTCAAACTCAAAATTCAGAACCACTTATGCGTGGGTAAATAGTCAGTTTTCTTCTTTGGGGTGAACTATCTCTTTAATATTTGCCATAAAAGTGAAATTACTGAACCTACACACAGAAGCTTGATGATAATGCTAATTTAGATGAAAGATTTCATACGGAATTTAGAGGCTTTTGCATCTGAACTCTTAAAGTAGGAAAAACAAAAACAAACAGAAGTCATGGTTACAAATTTTCAGCTTCAAAAATAAAACAGAAGAAAGTCAAACAGGATTGAAGCAAGTGAAGGGAGAGTAAATGATGCCGAAAAGTTAATTTGTGGGTGAACTATCCCTTTAACCGCTTTTCCCTGAAGGCGCTTGGCAACACTGGTCATAATAAGGCTTTAAAACACGTCTTCTCTGGTAAACATGACGTACAGAGCACAGAGTAGCCTAAATCTCTCCAAGTTCTGTCGCCTCTGGAACGATTTTCGCTGGAAATCCCCCTGAAGGGTCTGGGTCTTCTTGAACATATATATGTGTACGTGCTGGAGCAGGGGGTTTCCCTAAACGACATGCTTCAAACACTAAACTAGGTGCTAATGAACTAGGTCCTGACAAAGTTTACTTTCCTGGGTTGAAGCCCGACGTACAATGCTCCCATTCAGCGGCTCTCAACCGTGGAAAGTATCTGTAAGGTAATCCCGAAAGAGTTTTTTTGCGAGACCTTTTCAAAATTTTCAATATGTTTCTCCGCCTGCTATACGCTGCCAACGATAACACTAATATGCTTCAGCTGATACCAGCGATCGACGCGGAAATTTACATGAGGCAAAATGACATCCTTTCAGGAGTCTCTGGCATGAACATCTAGACTTTTCTGCCTTATTACTCACCTGGTGCTCTAACAGCCTAAATATCCCGTTCTGCAGCGCTGCCAGGGCTCCTCACTGGGCACGAGGCCTGAAACAGAACCAAGCAGCCTTTTAGTGGACCTAAATGCACTGGGCCTTATTACAGGTGCAGCTAAATGTGAATGGCAAGGCTGTTTGGCTAAAGGATTGTAGATGTTTGACGTTGCTTGTTGTTTATTTTTGCTGTTTGTGCATGTAATGAGATTTCAGACTATCGGGATGATGTCTGGTTTTGCTGGACTTGCCAATAACTACACTCTTAGACAGAACAGCAATGTCTTTCTGACAAAATGGCAACAAATCAAGGTTATTAGTGGTTAACTAAGAATTTTTTTTTTAGGATTTTAGGATTCAAATTTTTTTTCTTCAATAATTTAACAGTGCCATCAGTTTACACATTTTTACAGCCTTTTAACACCCCCTTCCCCTCTCCTTCCCAAAAGCGCAGTTACAGTAATTAGATGTTGCTATCATAAATCCAGCAAATACAGATAATGTAAACTCGATAAATAATACATTAAAGCTGCAAGCAGCGATGAAAGGGACATTGCACCCGGGCTTATCGCCGCCTGGTGGCCTTACAGGGGTGTCCAAGCTCGGTCCTGGAGCGCCGGTGTCCTGCATAGTTTAGTTCCAACCCCAATTAAACACATCCAATCCAGCTAATCAAACTCTTTTTAGGTATACTAGAAACTTCCAGGCAGGTGTGTTGAAGGAAGTTAGAGCTAAACTATGTAGGACACTGGCCCTCCAGGACCGAGTTTGGACACCCCTGCGTTAGGATGACAGAGAACAATGGACAATAATAAAGTTGATAAACATAAAAAACCAGACAATAGCCCCTTTCACACAGTGATTCCGGTAAATATCTGGAAAATTTCCGGAAAGACTTTACCTGTATTTTCAAAAAAGCGCTGTTCACAAAGGCGAGGACGTTACGGAAATTTTCCGGAAAAGAGCATTCACACATCCATTCCAAAATACCGGTAAATTCTGACATCATTAACCACAAATGAGCTTTAAATGGCTGCGCTTGTATTTGTAAACATTTTACTAAATTACAAACTCTGTGGATGATCAATATTGTGAATATGTGCGTGTGCAGGCGCTCACAGGCTGTTTCACAGGCACACGCAAAGCTTGAAGGTAAACAAACAATGGCTTATCATAAGCATCTCATCGATGATTATTTACACAGTTGGCATTAAGAAGAACATATAAACGTGATCTGACTAACTTCTAGCAGCTAAATGTGTCTGGAAAAATATTCAAAAGCTTTTATCCTAACAAACCGCGCGGACGTAAATGCGTCTGACTGTTGTGATTGGCTAAAGCAGACGTCTCACGTCAGCACGTTCTAGACGTGCACGCGCTTATTAAGGGAATCTTCCTTCTGCATTCACACAGCGCAGCATTCCGGCAAATTACCGGTAATGTTACAACTTCTCTTTCCGGAAAATAGCCAGAACGATTTTACCGGTATTTTCAAAAAGGACCTGTTCACACATACAACCTTTCAATTTTCAGGAAAGGTCTGTATGTGTGAAAGGGGCTAATGTTAGATTTCGTGTCGTTCATACTTCTGTCAGCAGGTGGCGCTATGACTGAGTGGATTTTCACATGTAAATGTCTTCAGTATAGTACTATAATCAAAGTTGTGGTATTTGGGGCAGACTGGACATAGTAAGCCTGAGCTAAAACAGCTCGCTTTACCATGGCGAAACACAGAGTTTTATTGTCAGGCCACCATGGACACGCCTTTAGACAAAAACTTTAGTTTACACAAAATATAATCCCTAGAGCTTTCAGGTAACACATCCCAAATTTGGTGCTGATATGATCAGATTTTTAGGAGGTGTTTGTTAGACTGTAAAATAAGTCATTTTCTGTTGCCAATACGTGGCTATGATTGTAACTGGATATTGGCATGGAAACGTGTTCAGGTCAAACGTGTGGATTCTGATTTTCAGATCAGACAATGCATGCCTGGACATTTTTAAAATGAACCGCCAACTATTCCAGCAAATGTTTTAGACATACGTTTGCCCTTCCAGCTGCAACCCAGTACAGGGGAAACACCAATACACACTCATTTATAACCACACTCATACACAGGGCCATAGAAGCGACCTAGGCAGCTGCCTAGGGCGGCAGAATAGAGAGGGCGGCGTCCGCAACACTACCCTCACCACCCGCACCCTCAGTTATATCCGCGTCTAGGGTAGCAGAATAGAGAGAGCAGCGTCTGCAACACTACCCTCACCACCCGCACCCCCAGCTATATCCGCGTTTAGGGCGGCAGAATATTGAGGGTGGCGTCTGCCACACTACCCTCACCACCCGCGTCCTCAGTTATATCCGCGTCTAGGGCAGCAGAATAGAGAGGGCTGCGTCCGCGACACTTCCCTCACTACCCGCGCCCTCAGTTATATGCACATCTAGGGCAGCAGAATAGAGAGGGCAGCGTCCACGACACTACCCTCACCACCCGCGCCCTCAGTTATATCCACATCTAGGGCAGCAGAATAGAGAGGGTGGCGTCCGCGACATTACCCTCACCACCCACGCCCTCAGTTATATCCACATCTAGGGCAGCAGAATAGAGAGGGTGGCGTCCGCGACATTACCCTCACCACCCACGCCCTCAGTTATATCCACATCTAGGGCAGCAGAATAGAGAGGGTGGCGTCCGCGACACTACCCTCACCACCAGCGCCCTCAGTTAAATCCGCGTCTAGGGCGGCAGAATAGAGAGGGCAATGTCGGCTACAATTCCCTCACCACCCGCGCCCTCAGTTATATCTGCTTCTAGGGCGGCAGAATAGAGAGGGTGGCGTCCGCGACACTTCCCTCACCACCGCGCCCTCAGTTATATCCGCGTCTGGGGCGGCAAAATAGCGAGGGCGGCGTCCGCGACACTACCCTCACCATCCGCGCCCTCAGTTATACCTCGCCCCACTTTCACTTTAGAGTTGAGGGCGGCATGATTGTCCTTTGCCTAGAGCGGCAGTTCAGCTTGCTCCAGCTCTGCTCATACACTATGGCCAATTTAGTTTATTCAATTCACCTATACTACATGTCTTTGGACTGTGGGGGAAACCGGAGCACCCAGAGGAAACCCATGTGAACACAGGGAAAACATGTATTCTCCACAGAGAAATGCCAACTGACCCAGCCAGGACTTGAACCAGCGACCTTCCTGCTATTAGGTGACAGTGCTAACCACTGAGCCACCGTGCTTGAATATTAATCAAACAGTGGGCTCAGCCAAGTCTGAATTAATCACATGACCCTTGATGACATATCTGACAGACGTACTCCCTCAGCTGAAATAACATCGCTCCCTTTTAACACTCTTCACTGTTTTGCATTTAGACTGCATTCGGCGCACCGCACACATTGCCAAGCTACGCGCAGCCAGACCTGACTGTCAGATCACATAATACATTGACTTATATTTATCTCCGGCATGTTAAAAAAAAAAAAAAAAGTGTGTTGCTCACAGAAGGGAGACGACGTCGGCAGAAGAGAAACCGCAATCTATCTGGCAGATTACCTCCATCAAAACATATGGGCCTGCTCATCCATATCTTTCTAGGCCACAGAGATATAAAACACCAGCGGCTCCTTTCTGAACTATAAGCTGCTAAACAGTAGCTGTGATAATTCAACATGTGATATCCCTTTGCAGAGCACCTCTATATCTTTAGGGGGCGATGAGAAAGGTACGGTGGGTCTTTTGCGAATACGTCAAGCTGTATTTATGGCTTTCTAACCTGACGTGCTGCAAAGTTATATTTATATCAGATGGTTCCATGCGAGCGGAGGCTGTGGGACTTGGCTGATTTTGATGGAAAGTTAAGATCTGCGAGCGGAAGACGTTAATTGAAAATGCATGCAGACCTTTGGATTTCTTCTCTTTTTTTCTCTCCTGAATCTGTGTGTGTGTGTGTGTGTGTGTGTGTGTGTGTGTGTTTATGTTGTACGTGTAGGGGTGGGAAATGGTGCATGCATGTATTTCGGTGTTTGTAACATACACCTGGCCCCTGTAGTGGTTTCATAAAATTTGATGGAAAGATCTATAAGCAGAGACATGGGTTTGACTTTTTAATAAACTGACAAGAGATCCTACGTTCATGCAAACAAACAATTAATTACGAAAATAAAAAGGTCATTTATAGAGGATAAACAGACTTAGAGACCATTCAGTTTAATAACCATCAGATTTTTAATCTTATATAGATCATATACACATTCTATTAGCGTTTTATAAGTAATCTACTATAGATTTTCTATTAAAACACAGGTCTGAGGCTCTATTTTGACTTTCTGTAAACTAAGGACGCGCAAAATTTTGACTGATGTAGGATTACATTGTTTGTGGCTGATAATTGTCCATATAATACACTAAAAACTAAACAAAAAAAAAGCAATCATTTTAATGCTACCAACAAAGGGCTACATTTTTAAAATGAGTCTATTTAAATTTCTGGAGATCTACGAGGCCTTATGATGCCGTTCCTTTTCGCGCTAGCCTTATATATATTACATGGTACTTTGTCCTGTACTTGTTGATATTGTGTTTGCTTATGTCTGTTTCACCCAAACATTTGTTACACTCCTCCCCCTTGACTGACCTCCTTTGAGATCATAACAGTAACCTTTGATTTGGCCCGCTATCCCATCTGAAAAGAGAATTAGAATAATGGGAGGGTTGGGTTTGCCTTTAACAGGGATGCCTTTAACAGAGATTGTCATTTCTAATTTAACCTCTTAAGGCCCAATGTTTTTTTTTTTTACATGCATTTTTTATTTCTCTTTGCTATTTCGGCTTATTGGAACTTAATTAGAATAAAACCTAAGTCTTTTGATATGATGTACTTTTAGAGAAAAATGGACTCGTGGTCCGAATTTACAGAAAACATGACTGTTTTTGAATGCATATATAACAATTTTTTTTTTGCATGTTTTGACTATCAGAGAGTAAAAACAACATTTTGGCCAGTTAAAAATAGGGTTTGGGATATTTCATATGCTGCAAAACAGTTGCAGGATGACACTGTATGTCTGTAACAAAATATAAAACATTAAAAGTGTTTTAAATAGCTACTTAAGAGCTAAAATGTACTAAGCTAACTAAGCCCTAGGAGGTTAATGTAACCTTTTGTTTGTTTGTTGAATTGTTGTTCTACCAAAAAAGCCAACTAAAATGAAATGTTTCAATTAAATGTTGTATATGAATCAGATTTTTAAAAATGTAAACACTGTCAGTCGAAGATAGCGGACTATGCACAAGGCATTGCAGCCTCACCCATGTATTCAGAATTGAGTGTTCGAAATGTGTTCGAAATGTGTTTATGTTTTTATTGCAGGAAGTTCATTATAAAATGCTAAAAAAATATAATTATTAGTATGAATAAAGTATTTTTTTCTATCTATTTCATAAAAACTAATACATTAGGGCATTACCATGGCAGCTTTAATGGTATATTTACCTTTGGTCCACCACCCTCAATCAAGTTTGGTTTTTGGCCTCCTAAAAGCAAGTTTGGGCGCCCCTGTACTAGTGAATCAGCAGTCCATGTGGGAATTTATATGGGAGCCAATGAATAATTTTGTCAGGGCAAGTAAAAAAAGAATTAGAAAAAATGGACCACATGCTCAATACTGAACACTGAGCAATGCATTACGCTTAAAGCTTTGTCACAACTATGAACATATTAGCATTGGTGGCGCTAGCAGGAGGCCGGATGAATCATCAACATTTTAGGTTTGTTTTCCCAGAAGACAAAGCCTATAAAAAGGCTAAAACTGACAACCTTAAAGCTAACCGGCATGAAACACCCGCCACAAAACTCTAATTCGGATTTCATGGGGTCTTTAAATGTCAAGCGGCTTGACTTTTACTACGCATTATTCAAACATCTGCTCGAACCCAGCCGGCACATTGTGTGTCTGTGGGCCAGAAAACATCATCGCTGACCAAATGGCAGAGTGCGGCATCTCAGGTGCAAAACCAGGACGGACTGTCGCAGCGCCAAGCATGAAACCTCTCCAAACCCAGAGCTTGACTCATAAAGCCGTCCTGAGCTGCGTGCGAGAGAAAGGTCAGGTTGGATTTGCATTCATAGAAAAAGGGAAAGAATGAAAGAACGAATGAGGGGAAAAGCGCTGTGCAGCGGATCGGCCTTTCATGAATGGAGCATTGTAATGCACGGCGGCCTCGTCAGTGAATGTTTTCAATTCCATTTGATCCTGTAGTACGGCTGCTAATTGGTGAAGCGTGTTCCACAGGTCAGCGCGAGGTTTCTCTTTCCACAGACGCACACTGCTCCCTCTGTAGAGAAAACGGAGCAAACGGGCCACGGGCCACCGTTTGGATGCTCAGAGAGTGATTTACAGTCTCGTAACGGTCAGAAAATAGCTGCACGGCAAATTGTTGTTTTATCAGTTCGTTTGTTTTTTACAATATTGAATCATTATGACAAAAAAAATTAAAAAAGAAACAGTTACTTAAGAAAAATTACCTGTTAAAACTTGCTTCCTGAAAAATAAATCAGAATTTTATACTTTAAAAAAAGGCTGGCAATAGAGGGCAGAGCTATTGTAGAATTATAAAAGAGAAAAGGAAAAAATCCCTTACATCATTTTCAAACACTTTCTCAAGTCAGGGTTGTTGTTGTTTTTATCCTTGAACAACTATTGAAGTTTTTGTAAATAATTTAAATGGGTTTTAAAATTTCCCTTGGTTTTATAATTAAAGATAATAATAATTCAATTTAAATGATTTCAAGTATTTTGTTGTGCGCTTTTTGTCCTTTTGTCCCATTTGTAAAAAAATATATAATGAAATGAAATAATTAATTGGAACTACGAAACTATGTACCTTAAACCAAATAATGTTTAAGGTATTATATTTATGGGCAATATCACACGAGTAGCAGTGTGATATGGCTGGATATCTGCACTGATGGGAGGTAGAATAAAAACGTAGAATTTTTCTCCCTCTAAAGGTTTATTATGCAGTCTCTGTGGTAGAACATCAACCATCTTTGCTCTGCTTAATGACAAGCTGATGGCCACCAATGCGCTGAATCTCCGAAATAATAAATAAAGTAGGCACTATCCTTACAAATAAACTGCATAGTTGCAATCCAAACAACTACATTCTCAACTAAACAGCCTCAAATGTACATTATAGTGTCCAACAGCTGAGTTTATCGATCTGCTGTCACTAAGTGGGCGGAGTAATACACAAGGGTGAGGACGCTGTATGAATGCTGTTACTGCAGAATAACGCATGGCTACCATATACGTATATGGCTACCACAATAATTTTAGTTGGCATAAAATTATTGAGCTGTGTAGTACTGACACTTAAATTTCCCAAAATAAATGTGGTCTTTTAGATTTTGTATTAAAAATGAGATTCATTCACCAATCTGTTGCATCTGACCTAAAATTGTAACATGGTGTGAAGCAAATGTTATTTTACATAAAACTAAAATGGACACACTTATTGTGAAGTTACTAACATCACCATAAATCTTTATAGTAAGATTTTGTTCTTTACAGCATTTTGTTTTTGTGCAGATCTATGTTGTAAATGAAACGATGTAATGTAAATGAATGAGCTATTATGTAAATCATGTCACACCACTAGTGAGCATATCAGATACAGAGCTGATTAGTTGAAAATTAAAAAAGTCTGAACTACTCTCTTGACATTCCAAACCACTCCAGAGATGATGTGGATTGTGGACTTTATCATTATGATGTAAAAATGATTGCCCAATCAAAATATAGATCATTATTTCTCAACCATGTTCCTGGAGGACCACCAGGTCTGCACAATTTCAAAGTCTCCTTAACCAAACACACCTGATGCAGATCATCATTAGCAGAGACTGAAAGACCTGTAATAGGTGTGACAGACAAGGGTGATATCCAAGACATGCAGTGCTGTAGTTGGTATTTTTTTCTCTTTACACAAATGAACTTAAGATCCAGGATTTAGGTTTTATGTTATTTAAATATGCAGATGATATGGCACTTGTAGGCCGGTTGACTAAATTAGGAAAAGAAGGAGATACCTTGTACTATAATTATATACATTTGCTTCAAAGTTGGGTGTAAAAGGAGTGCACTGGAGATCAATTTTAATAAAACCAAGGAAATGATAAATAGCAGAAAAAAACTAGTACATAGTCAAGGGTTGAAACCTCTGGTCCTTGAGGGACATGAAATAGAGACAGTTGGATGTTTTAATTATTTAGGAACATTTACTGATAGTGGATTAACATTTACTGCGAATGCAGAGTGCATTTTTAAATGATTGCATGGTACGGACTGTTGCCAATTAGGGAAAAGCAAAAACTGTGTTGAGTAGTGAAAATTGCCAGTGCAATTGTAGGTAAAGCACAAAGATGACCAAATGAAATTTATTCAATGAGAATTAAACAGAAAGCACATGTCATTATTAAAGATTATTCCCATCGCTTAAATATTACATTTCAGCTCTAGCCATCAAAAAGACATTTTAGGCAACCTCAAGTTAAGAAAAATGTGTATCAAATGTCCTTTGTGCCGAGTGCGATTAGAATTTTAAATACTGAGTTCTAAGTATGTATAGGGTTTTACATTGAGTTTTTAAAGTGATATATGGGATAACGTTGAATGTATTTGTGTTGTCTGTTTTTTCTGTGATGTGTTTAATGTGAACGCTGATGTGGTTGTGTGGTGAAGCCAAAGATAAATTTCCACTTGTGGACAATTGAGAAAGTAAAAGTAAATAAAAGTAAAGTACTCCAGTAACGTGGTTGAGAAACACTGATAGTGTCACACCATATGATACCCATTTTATGGACAAAATGTATTTGGCCTTTCTTTAAAATCATGTACTTTATCATCAGCATTTAATGAGTCCAATAAAAAAGCCTAATTATGTTACTTAAACTCTGACTTTTTCAATTATTTATACTATGCTGAGATATATTGTTATATTAGTAAGATCACATGTCGCTCAGACATTCAACCACATGATAATTTTGATATTTAGATAAAAAAAATTAAGTACAGATCTGTAAACATCATCTAAAGCTATATTAATAGCTGTAATAACTAGTCAGAGGAACAACATAAAGGTATATCTTTTAAACAAATACTCATTTTTATTGTGTGACATCATGGACAGGTAAAAATGTTAAGTCAACAACCCATATTGCTTTTTCCCCTGTAAATTATTTTCTGTTTTAATAGATTTAGTTTTAATTAACTTTAACAACCCTTCCCTTCTTTATTTTCTTGATTTATTTGCACTGGAAAACAAGAGGGGGGATCCTTTTGCAATGGAATTTGTGGTTTCCGTACCACGTGTCACAAACAACAAAGATGTAACTATTTTTGGGGTGAACTGTCCCTTTAACAATCAAGGTGCGCGTGCACCGGTTTGTTTGCCTCGGATAACAAACAATTAGATCGCTATATCTGGAGTTTAAGCAGAAACACACGTCCAGCAAAAAAAAAAAGTGCCTGTTCTACAGTGTTTGCATCCTTTAGTTCTAGCATCACTCACCCCTTCACCTCTATCTCTTCTCTGCTTCCTCAAGAGCGACTGGAGTTGGATTACGGCTCTAATATAAAGCAGGTGTATCTCTCAGCGTCAGTTGCAGTTGCACGCACATGGGAAGTAAACGCAGAGAAGCTCCAGTCATGTGTGTGAATGAAGCGTCTCTGGCTCTCCTGCAGGTTTACACCGACACCTTCTGGTCACTTCGTGAACTGCATATCTTCATCACTTCCGAACAGGTTAAATAAACAAGAGTATTCAAAATGTTAAATTACTAAATAAATTAAATATTTAGATTAGATTCATTTAAAATTTAGAGTACCCTGAAAAAAGTCTATCACAAGTGAGATTCACAGATTCACAAGTGTTTTCCGCTTAATTACAGGTTGTGAGTTACCTTATGGGATGTTGATCTCTGCCCAGTCGACTTTTGATGTTGAAAATTCAATTCTACAGTTTAATAAAGTAACTTTTATTGCAATTTTAATAGTTTGAAGTAGTGTAAGAAATAATATATAGAGAAATAAGTGACAGAAAATGTCAATAGTATCTGGATGTCAACTTGGACTTGCAAGCTAAGACTGCATATCTCAGTCTAGTAATGTTAGACCCAATGCACTCAATGGAGCAAGTGACATCACTGTGAGGGGTGGGGTTAGTGGTGGGGATGGGTATGCACATTAAAAGCATTGATGCACCTGAGCTTGCAACTGCACCGAGTCTGCATCCAGATGCTGTTCAAAAATGTACTGGCAATTTATTAGTTTATTAGTTTTTGTACTGTAATTTAAGACACCAACCCAGACAATATATCTCTTTAAACTATTAAAATGTTAGTAAAAGTCAGTTTTTCCAACTTTTTAGGGTTTCAGAGTTGTTGGAAAAAATATCAAGGTCTCATATTACAATTCAAAAGCATAAATAAAAGGGGAAAGACTAAAAAATAAAACCATGAATAGAATCATGAATTTTTTACACTGCACTAAGTTCAATTCTGCACCTTTAGATCTGTGTTAAAGGGACAGTTCACCCAAAAAAATAAAATTCTGTCATTTACTCATGGACATCCATAGGAAAAAAATATTTTGGAAATAAATACTTGTTTTTTCCCCACTTTCATCAGTATATTTTTCTTTGTGTTCAACATAATAAAGAACAAAAAATGTGGAGGATGTGATAAATAATGACAAGAGCTTTTATTTTGAACTATACCTTTAAAATGACACACAAACTGTAGATGGCGCCAGTGTTGCCAACTTAGCAACTTTGTCACTATATTTAGCAACTTTTCAGACCCCTTAGCGACAAATAAAAAAAAAATTGACTAGCATCAAATCTATTGAATTTTTTAATTCATTTGAATAGAATCTCATCCATCTGTACTGTACCGTTCCAACTCTTCTCTACGAGCTGTAGGTGATGCCGTCGGCCCCATCCTCAGGGTTGTTGCTAGATCAGATATGATTGCGGCTGCAATAATTTATATTATTTATAAAAAATTCTCTTTAATTGTATTTTATTAACGTCTACCCCAACCCTAAACCCAACCATCACAGTAATGTAAAAACAGTAGTACATAGTATTAATGTAGTAAATTAATCAATAAATTGTATTTTTTTAATAGTCCCACCACAAACCCAACCACAGTACTGTAAAAATATAAATTATTGTTATACAGTATCACAAAAATGATGCTATGTTGATGCGCATATCACACTTCCGGCCAGCCGTGTATCCGATCTAGACTTTACCCTCCCCCGGCTCAGTCACTCACATGTGGCCCAGTACCACACAGCCGTCTCTCACACCTGCAGCCCAAGAGCAAATTGCTGCTCTGCGTATCAACGGCAAATGATTTAGCACCGCGAGTGTGAGGTATTTCCCTTATACAGTCAAACCAATCTGCTTTACTTTTCTTTTGAATTTGGCAATTTAATTTGACTGTTTATTCTTTTCTTGTTCGTAATCACCAGTGTTAATTTCGTTGACGAAGACTATGACGAAAAATATTCGTCAACGAACATTTTTTACAGAAGAAAACTAAATAAAAACTAAATAAAAAGTCAGATACGATGACGAAGACGATGACGAAATTTAACTGACACTTTAGTCAACGAATAAAAACGAGAGGAAAATGTTGGGGCGGGACGAATGGAGAAGAGATCCAATAAGAACTACCCTTTTGTGGGGAAATCCAATCAGAGCAAATCTTTTGAGGGCAGGTTGGTCTTGGCAAAGCCATTTTCAAAACAAAAGCCGCGGTTTTCAAGTTATGATGACGTTTGTTATACATTATATTTAGTTACACATTATACTTGGTTACAAAGCGTTGGTTAATTTAAGTTGACTTTTCTCGTTAGCAACACGCTAAAGTTTTGTTCACTCGGTCCGAGGGCAGCGTCTCATGAACAGACAGACAGAAATGTCAGAGCTTGGTCTAGGACGAAAACGAAGAATTGACATCTGGTCAAACTTCACATATGACAACAAGGACAACAAGAGCGTCTGTAAACCATGTGGAGTAAAAATCGCTGGGAAAAACACCACCAACTTGAAGCGACGTTTACAGACGGCTCATCCAGAAATCCACACCAAGGTAAGCATAAACGCTAACGTTAAGGTTATCCTATAAGATAAACCACCGTGATTCTGCTAAACTTGGAATAAAATTGAAGCCAAAGGAAATTAACTTTAAATAGTATTGATTAAACGAATTGTCTCGCTGAATTAATTAATATAAATATGTGTACTATTATAATAGATGTTGTGGTGATATGACTCGACAAAAGGTGTGTGTGTGTGTGTGTGTGTGTGTGTGTGTGTGTGTGTGTGTGTGTGTGTGTGTGTTATATGGCAAGAAAGAAGAAAATATCACAACTTTGTATATCATTTATATATCCTCATAGATACAGAAGATGTCTGATGACCATGGGCCAGGTGGAAATAAAGCTAGTGATGCTACTAGTACAACACAGCAGCAGGCCATCTCAGATTTCCTAAGGTCTTCAAAGTACAAGACTGAATCAAAGGAACAACAGACCAAGGAGCAGGCCATAGCTAGATGGATTGGACGGACAGGTTTACCACTCACAACAATTGAGGATGAGGACTTTGTGCTAATGATGGGGATGATAGATGGGAGACTAACAGTTCCAAAGAAAACTAAAATTAGCAATTTAATTAAAACACAGTATGAATGCTGTACTTTATCTTGAAAGAATGTCATATGCGTTTCATATAATTCAGGGACAATGCATATCACAAATGCATATTGTTCAGGGAGAGCAGGTCTTGTGGTTATTTTTTGTGAAAAAGACTCATGTTTTTGACATGTAATAAAATGTTTTTATTACAACAATTAGATATGTGCCTGTATTCTATATATGCTTCCATATATTATATTATACTTACAATTACATGAATTATGGAGAAAAATCTGCTAATATTTGGTCTACTAAAACTAGACTAAGACTAATAGACTTAAGACTAAACTAAGACTAAAACTCTTATGATATTTAGTCAACTAAACTAGACTAAGACTAAAAGATTTCAGATGACTAAAATAGGACTAAAACTAAATGGTGTATTATTCCAAAGACTAAGACTAAGACTAAATCAGAATTTGCTGTCAAAATTAACACTGGTAATCACAGATATTTTAGTCACAGTTTCTGAACTTTTTTTTTACTAATAAGTCAAAGAGATTACTGCAAATTCACTGAACATCTATACTGATATACTGTATTCGTTTATTTATTTATTTTTAAGCTTAGTCCCTTTCTTAATCAGGGGTTGCCACAGTGGAATGAACTGCCAATTTATCCAGCATATGTTTTACTCAGCGGATGCCCTTCCGGCTGCAACCCATCACTGGGAAACACCCATACACTCATTTATAGTGCAAATATCAATACCCAGTGGCGATGCTAGACCCCATTTACTGGGGCAAAATCCCAGTGCCCCAGTAAATGCTATGAGATTTCCTTTTTGTGCAAGTGTATTTATTAGTAGAAGTAATTCTGGAATAAAAATGTTATTCTCTATGTGCAACCGAGCCAACGCTGATGAAAGCAATGTAGTTTAAACAAAAAGCAAACTGAAGTATGCATAGTGAAAATCATGCGTTGTGAAACTGGCATAACCGCCTTTAATGCAGAGGTGTTAACCTAAAGTTCAAATAATGATGATGATGATCTTATTTTGACAGCGTGGCTCTTGATAGATTTTTTCATATGAAGCAGAAAGGAGGGATGATGAGTCAGGGAGGTAAAATTTAATAAACCTAATTCTCGACCATGTGTCAAGACAACAACAGATAATTCTATATAACATCTCTTTTGTATTCTATAGTATGTATAGTATAAAGTATGTGCCTTTGCTAAATCTGCGGGTGGTTTTAAGGTGGTTAGTTAAACATATCAGTGCTAGCTAATATTTTTCTAAAATACCCAAGCAAATTATTTAAATTATAAGTTTTTTTATATAAAATTAAATCAGCCTTATTGAGTTTACAGCAAGCCAATAAACTCATTTTAATTGTCATTTCAGTAAAAACCTCTAAAGGATTTTTACCACTTCCTCATTTCAAGTTTCGTTTTACTCATTACAGCTCCTATAATGAAACGCCCACTCAGGAAGCCATGAAGAATGATTGGCTCAAATCTTCTGTAAATCCTCCAACCTCCCAGGAAATCTTTGTAGTTGCCACCAACATCCAAAAGGTATGGTTCTACTGGAAAAGTTTTAATTTAGTTCTTACATATTATTTACATTTTTATAATATGAGTTGGTATTTACAGATGCATAACATGATAACAAGTTAGGTTTGGAATCTTGATTTTAGCTGTGTTTGTAATCTAAAAGTATTGGCAGCAGTAAAGTTATTTTTCTACTATATTGCTTTTGTTTTCTCAGATTTGGTGTAAACAATGGACAATATTAGAAAACTTTTCAAATTACTAGCAAACATTAGGGAAAATTTGTATAGCTCTGGACTAAATATACCCTTTTATAAACTATCATTTTGTTCTGATAAAACATTAATTTGTAGCTTAATAAAACTAAATTTTACATCTGGTCCATTAGCTATTGAAAATGGTCAGATTATGTCTTGTAATGGCAAATATTTATCAGACCAGTTCCCATGTTACATTTTAGTTTGGTCTTCGAATATTGAGGAGGGTTGGCGCAGCAGAGGTCTGGGCTTTTATTACGGCTCTGGTGCTGTAATAACAGCCAAACATGTTGTAGAGGATTATGAAAACGCTAATATTTATGTCCTTTTCCCAAATTATGAATGCTTAATATATAGAGGCTATAGAACACTCTATATAAATGGTAAAACAATTCCAGAAAACCAAGATATTTCTTTAATTGAATTACAAGGATGTATAGATCCATTACAAAACTTGAAATCAGAGATAGTCGAGTTAGATAAAAATCAGGACTTGCAATTTTATATATTAGAGTCAGGGAATTATGGGCCAAAGTGTTGTCGAGTTGAAACACCAAATACTGATATGAAATTGCAAATGCAGGCAGATGAATTTGTGATTAGCAAAGTAGGCAAAAAAGGAGACAGCGGATCCCCTATTTTCTCAAGCTCTCGCGGGTGTGTTGGAATATATATTGGTACTTTTGATGCTAAAAACTCAGCATCCCCTCAAGAATATGGCAGAGCTTTAAGTTTTGACAAAACATTTGTTAAACAGAACTTGTAAATTCTGCTGTTTCTAATTCACTAACACGTTTCTTACGTTATATATAAACTACAATTATATAATTAAATATAACAAAAAAACTAAAAAATAAGCAAAATAAAGAAAAAAATAAACTACATTAATACATGGTTAAAAAATAGAAAAATAGAAAGCACTAAAAATAAATAAATAACACAGAAAAAAATAATATTCATATACATTTATTTATATATATATATATATATATATATATATATATATATATTTTTTTTTTTTTTTTTCTCTAGTTTAAAAAAAAGAAAAAAATTACATAAGTAAAAATATTTAAATACAAATTACATATACATACAGTACATACAGTACCCAGTATAACAGAGTACACCATAATTCTGAAAACAAAGCACCCCTTGTTTTAAAAATAATACTGGGATTCTATAGAATTAGATATTTGTGCAAATCTGTTTTACCAGTTTTACATTACATTAGCATACCCATTAGCATACCCAAATACATAAGGGGAACTAATCTAACAAAATATTTATGTAATTTAATGACTTAAAATATGTGCACTACAATAGAAATTAATTAAATTAGTAGATTTAATTAATGTATTTAAAAATTGGTCTTAATTATTTATTATTAATTGGTCATAATTATTTTTGCAGCACCTAGGCAATTTTTATGTATTATTTTCCTTTACTAAATGACCACATTTTTACGTTAACTATTTTATTTATTGTTTCATAGAATCTGAATTATTGAAGAGGGAGGAAGGTGGGGGGTGCACTCATGCTGGGCACTGTACTGTATGTGTGTGTGTGTATTTGTTCATATATAATTCAAAATATTAATACAAAAATCTAAATTTGAATTTGTGTGGAAGCCAAAAAAAAATACCCCAAACACGTGTGATAACTGGAAAACTGGAGCATAATTGGCATGGTTACAATTCTCAAAATTAATAATATTGTCCATTGTTTTAGCAACTAACCAGAGAGTGATCCTGTGTCTTGTCCACAACAATCCTTTGTGAGTCATTTATTAAATCAACTCATGCATACAGCATGCTTTTGTAACATAATTTACACAGAATAAGATACACCAAAAACATCTCACATTCCAAATGTCATTTTCAGGTGGTGTTTGTTGGTCTGGACTGAGTGAAATCTGCATATGGTTTGATTTGGTAAGGACATTTTGTCAAACGTTGACAATTGTGAATCAAATGTAGGTCAAGTGTCACGTTAGGCGTGATCAAAACAATAACGGGAACAAAAATAGCGGATTCAAGTGCAGATTTTAATATATTAAAGAGTAAAAAACAGTGAACAAAAATCCAAAATATCAAAGTGCAAAGTAACAAATAAACAACAAAACAAGAAACTAAAACAGATAAACATGAACTAGACTTAGTAGACTATAGCAAGATACGAGGCAAGATCAGGAACAACAACTAGGAAAAACAGACTTACTGGGTACAAGAAAGACAACGACGCGATGACAAACAGTGGTTGAATGACTGAATATATGGTAATCACGGAGAATGGAGACAGCTGTGGTTGTAAATCAGTGTAGATGACAAATCTGGTGTGTGCGCGAAATAATGTATGGAAATGTAGTCTTTCCTGGGACGCTGTAGTGCCTACTGAGTCCTGGTGCACTACAGCGCCCTCAGGTGGTCAATGACGGATGTGAAAGTAGGTCCACAGAGGTTAAAACCAAATCAAAATACAGCATAAATACAGCATTTAGTATTTTAAACTCTTTAAATGATGGTGTATGCAAAGCCACTAATTATTTTTTTTTTATTAGAAACGATAAAATGTAGTATTTTCTAAGGCTAAGAAAAGAACACAACATTAAAATTATGTTGTATATAATTTTAAAAATAAAATATTATATATAAAAATGGACTTTTAAAAAAGTAATAAATAATAAAATTCACCGAACTCACCGCTGTTTACTGAAGCTAACCACAGACACAGGGACACTGGAGCTTTTCAAAGCTGCGTTTCATCAGCGGATCACTCGTATGTCAGCTTATAGACAAACCAGCTGATCAATATAGATATATATATTCAGTTGAAGTCAGAATTATTAGCCCCCTCTTTATTTATTTATTTATTTATTTATTTTCTTTAAATATTTCCCAAAATAATTTTCACAGTATGTCTGATAATATTTTTTCTTCTGGAGAAAGTCTTATTTGTTTTATTTCGGCTAACATAAAAGCAGTTTAAAAAATTTTAAGCACCATTTTAAGGACAAAATGATCAGCCCCTTCAAGCTATTTTTTTCGATAGTCTACAGAACAAACCATTATTATACAACAACTTACCTAATTAACCTAGTTAAGCCTTTAAATGTCACTTTAAACTGTATAGAAGTGTTTTGAAAAATATCTAGTCAAATATTATTTACTGTCATCATGGCAAAGATAAAATAAATCAGTTAACAGAAATGAGAAAAAATAAACAGGGGGCTAATAATTCTGATTTCAACTGTATGAACAAATAAGAACAGGCAGTCAGAATTCGGGCGAAGGCTCCCTCTGCTGGCTGGATGAATGGTTACTAGTGCTGTTTGTTACACCGTGGCCAAATTACTGAAATGAAAACTAGGTTTTGAAGCATAAATTAAATGTTTTGGGTGAGTAACTACATTTTGAAGATCTGAAGTTCCAGCAAACAGTTTTGAGATTTGCACTCATAGTTTAGAGAAAAACTATAAGACTGAAAGGTAGACATCAGGGATATGGCCATAGTGACAAAACATCTAAACCTTTTGACTTGCAGTGCTTACACAATGCCAAAGGGACAAAGGATTTTGGGGCACTGACTGTTTAAATAAGAAGAAAATTTTGTTTTAACACATGAGTGAACAGTTTTGGGAAATATATGAGCTATAGTGTTGTGCTGAACCGTACAACTTTTTTGCCAAACAATCTTGAGTGTTGAGAATGTAATTCCTTTTTCAAGAAATTAGCCATACCAATGAAGAAAAACTGTAACAGGTTCCAATAAAAACTTTCTTTGTCCTGAAGGTCCTGAACATACCAATTTCTGTACTAATTAATTTATGAACAAAAACTGTAAAGAAATATAATATTAAAAGTAAATAAGACGGTTTTGTCAAAATGTACGCTATTAAAAATTATCACGGACGGACGGACGGACAGACAGACAGACAGACAGACAGACAGACAGACAGACAGATAAATAGATAGATAGATAGATAGATAGATAGATAGATAGATAGATAGATAGATAGATAGATAGATAGATAGATAGATAGATGACAATACAGATTATATTTATGTTTGTCATGTGTTATAGTGAAAATGCAATGTCAAACCAACAACCCATTAACAGATAAATCACTTTAATCTTTTTGTCTTTCTCCTGCTAGGCAACCAGACTGACCTTAATACATCACTTTTGGGTCAAGTTTCATGCAGACGATCTCTCTTTGTTAAATTCCATACTGTACCTGCTGTAACAAGCAAGCAAAGCAACACTTCTACACTTTCACAAGTAAAGCAAGCTGCCAGGAGAGAGACTGTAATTTGACCAACATAATAGTAAGTATTTCAACCAAATATTAGCAATTAAATATGTAACCAATTATTCTAGAGGTGTGTGCCAAAAATTTGAATATCGATGGAAAATCCATTTATTTCAACAATTTATTTCATAAAGTGAAACTTGTGAGTTTCATTGCACACAAAGTGAAATATTTCAAGCCTTCTTCTGTTTCAATATGAATGATTATGGATTGATGATAAAAAAACCTCCAATCCAGTATTTCACAAAGTTAGAATATAATGGCAAAGTTCAACATTGTAGGCTCCTTTGTCTCAATGTAGTCTGCTAAGTAATGCAAAGCCATGAAATTGTCTCAGTCTGACCTAGCAGGCTTCAAAATCATGGTGAAACTGCTGACTTGACAGTTGTGCAAAAGACCATCATTGGAACCCTCCATAAGGAGAAAAAGTCTCAAAAGACAATTGCAAAACAAACTGGATGCTCTCAGAGTGCAGTATCTAAGTATATAGAGCGGAGGAACGATGACGTCACTTTGTAGGCTAATCGGCTGCTAGCATAAAACTGGTTCCCTCGTTAAAATCCCTATAGGATTTTCTGATAGGCTTTTCGAAGATTGCGAATAATAAGCTCTGTGTTCAAACACTATTCATTACACTTACACGTTTTGTCCAGCCGGATAATCCTCACACAAAAATATAACTTTGAGCACTTTTGGATCTTAAATACAAGCGCAAGAATTGAAAAGCTAACATTAGGCTTTAAACGGAATACACTGCCCTAGGGGCGCTCGTCTGTGACGTCAGCCCCACTCTGCTTCAGACAACTTATCAAGCTTATTTTTAGATAATGTCCATGACAAAGAGTTAATCTCTCTGTTTATTATATTATAATCCACGGTATATATTATAAACAAATAAATACAAAAAAACACATAGACCTATGTGGCCTTTGGGATCGTTTTTACGTGAGAAATACATCTGTTTTGCTTTACGGTTGTTCTAAAAGTTTTAAAACTGCGTGTATGAATCTGCCTGAATAGTATTATCATAAGACATTTAAATAAGTGTATCGCTCGCGTGCACACAGCCTGCTTACCTTAACAGACGACAGAAATGAGGCGTGAGGAGGAACAAGTCTATCAAATGCCCGAACACAGAGCAACATTCAATATTCCTTTTTTGTCACGAAGTACAGTGAAAAGCAGCCCATACAGACACATCTGTTGTACATTTTATGGAGGACTGTAAGTTAAATATTACAGTTATGACAGAGTTAAATGTGCTACACATTCAGATGAAGAAAAAAAGACGAAAAATCACTTGATCACGTTAAAATGGCAGTTAACATGCATGTATTTTTACACATTTATTCACACGTTTGCATTACTGAGAGCAGGAAAGAGACAGGCAGCACTATCTTCTTAATATCTTGCACTATCTTCCTAAAGACTGTCTCGACAGTCTTTACAAGTGAAGGAATTATCTACACACAATCTGAATTTCCAATTAGAAAAATACTACAAACTATAAAATACTATTCATGAAAATACCTAAATAACAAACAAATCCAAATACCCAACAAAAGCGAGCTGCGCTCCAGACCAGTTCAGCTCGATGACGTATAATGCCTCCGAAACCGCCTGTAGTCCCATTTAGCAACTTGATAGCAACCTTCCTTTGAAAGAAGCATAACCGATTTAAAAAATCAAGAGTGTGCTGTAACTGATGTGTTTTATGTCGTAGAACAAAACGTGAAAGTATCTTGAGTTTGTGTTTGCCACAAACCTTATTTAACCCTGCTGAAAAATCCAGCTTAAACCAGCCTAAGCTGGTCGCACTTCCAGGCTGGCTTCCAGCCATTTCCAGCCTGGACTTAGCTGGACAGGCTGGGAGATGACCAGCTAAAACCAGCTTGACCAGCCTAGCCAAGCTGGGAGTCCAGTCAAAACCAGCTATATCCAGCTTAAACCAGGCTGGTCAAGCTGGTTTTAGCTGGATTTGGCTAGTCATTTTTCAGCCTGACCAGCTAAGACCAGGCTGGAAATGGCTGGAAACCAGCCTGGAAGTGGCCGAAACCCCTCTAAAACCAGCCTGGTCGACCAGCTTAAACCAGCCAACCAGCCAAGGCTGGTTTAAGCTGGATTTTTCAGCAGGGAAGCGATTTTACTCAAACCCCATACAAAAACCCATTGACTTTGGGAACTGGAACTGCTAAAATGCTAACTCGCTTCCGGGTTTTTGCATACAAATTGACGTCATATTTCCTCCACTCTATTAACAGAGTGTTAAGAGAAAGGGAAAAATGTGGCAGGAAGAGGTGCACGAGTATGACTGCAGCCTTGAGAGGACTGTCAAGCAAGGGTGACTGAGGCTGGTGTCAGAGCATCAAGAACCACCACATACAGATATCTGCATGACATGGGCTACAGCTGTAGAATTCCATGCATCAAGGTACTCCTGAACCAAAAACAACATTAGAAGTGTCTGTGCTTAAGCAACACAAAAGTCAAGTTGCTTAAAATCCAGTGTGGAGTTTCCACAGTCAGTTAAGGTTTAGGGGGCCCATGTCATATGCTGGTGTTGGTTCATTGTCTACAAGTCTACAATCGACGTAGCTCTATATCAGGAGGTTTTAAAGCACTTTATGCTTCCTGCTGTCGACAAGCTTTTTGGAGAGGATGGTTTTATTTTCCAGCAGGACTTGGAACCTGCAGACAGTGCCAAAGCTACCAGTACCTGGTTTAAGAACCATGGTACACCTGTTCTTAATTGGCCAGGAAACTCACCTGACCCTGACCCCATTGAAAATCTATGGGTTATTGTCAAGAGGAAAATGGGAGAACATAGACCCTAAAATGCTGAAGAGTGGAAGGGCAATATCAAAGCAACTTGGGCTACCATAACACCTCAACTGTGTCAAAGGATGATCGCCTCCATGCCACAGCGCCTTGATCCTGTAATTAGTGCAAAAGGTGGCCCAACAAAGTACTGAGGACATAATATTGAACAGGGGTCACCAATCTATTGCCTGGAGGTCCAGTGCCCTGCAGGGTTTAGCTCAAACTTGCCTCAACAAACCTGTCTGAGTGTTTCAAGTATACCTAATAAGACCTTGATTAGCTTGTTAGGTGTGTTGCAGCTTTGTTGCATCGTAATTATTTCAAAACTTTAAAAAATTCAATGGTTCTTTTTTTGGAGGGTGATGTGAATTGTCAACATGAATATCAACATGGGTTCAATCAGATCTTATTATTATTATTTTTTTACCTGATCAGTTTGTAGACAATTTAGTGAGACATCTGTAAAATTGAAAGTATTAATAAAAGCTAATAGTCTCTAATTGGCCAGTTTAGCAGATGCCCACCATGGAAAAACAATAGGCCGTCATCACACCGAATGTGCTTTTTGCATCGTTTCAGCTTCCGTTTCATGCAGCATATTTTATATTTAAAGATATTTGCGTACTTATAATGTCAACCCAGGCTCATTCAGAAAACATACCGCTAAATGCATTTCTGAAGAGTTCCAAATACGTCCCAGTAGGAACATTCTTTTTCGGTTTTTGCAAATCTACCCGAGGCTGCTGTGTACACTTTTTGAGATCTTAAATTTCTCTTGCGAGTGGCATTTGCGCCTGCTCTTCTCATGTAAATCAAAGAGGCTGCTGTCGACTGACTGACCGAGCGATCGGCTGTCCCAAAAACACATGAAGTTATTTGAATTGTGAGCTAATTGCATGAATTTTGTTGAGCCTTGCTTAGAGTGTTTTTAATCATATTCATTTAATCAAAATATATCTCTAAATCTTTATCATTGTCTCTTTTATTCAGGATCATGACACCATCTTGTATCTCCATCTCTCAACATCATGCTGAAAAACACAACCTTCGACAATCCTGACGTTTGGGTCAAGTGACAAAACTGATAATCTCTCCTTGAATAACATGAAAATGTTCAATTAATTCGAAAGAAAGCTCAATAAATGATAAACTGCAAAGTCTTTGTGTTTATTTTGCAATATTCAGGTTTATGACAAGACGCTACAAAAAATGGAAAATTATATTATATTATATTATATTATATTATATTATATTATATTATATTATATTATATTATATTATATTATATTATATTATGGGGGAGACGCGGTGGCGCAGTAGGTAGATCTGTCGCCTCAGTAAGAAGGTGGCTGATTCGAGCCTCAGCTGGGTCAGTTGGCGGTTGTGTGGAGTTTGCATGTTCTTCCTGTGTTCACGTGGATTTTCTCCGGGTGCTGTGGTTTCCCCCATAAGTCCAAAGACATGCGATACAGGTGAATTGGGTAAGCTAGAATTGTCTTTAGTGTATGTGTGTGAATGAGAGAGTATGTGTGTTTCCCAGTGATGGGTTGAAGCTGGAAGGACATCCGCTGTGTAAAACATGTGCTGGAAAAGTTGGCGGTTCATTCTGCTGTGGCGAACCCTGATTAATAAAGGGACTAAGAATATGAATGAATCAATGAATGAATGATATATATATATATATATATATATATATATATATATATATATATATATATATATATATATATATATATATATATATATAACACTTTCTTAAATATATATTTAAAAAAAACAGACCGCAAATAATTTTTTTCCAAATAAATATTATTTGTATTCTGATACAATACATATTTAAAATACATATTAAGTTGTACATATCATTTACATTCATGGCTAACTTGCCTAAGAACTAAAATGTATGATCTGAACAATATTATAGCTGTACCTTGTGTCATTGTCAAGTAATTCAGTCACTCATTTACACAACTAAGAGGAAAATAATATAGTCTATAATAATGTAATTAAGAGATCAATATTTCTAAATTGCAGCCTGTAATCTGCACCCTTTCATTATATATATATATATGAAGAGTTCAGATGCAAAACCCTTTAAATCCATCTGAGGTCTTTTTTTGTAAATGAGCATTTTCTATTAGGCTCCTATAATTAGGCTCAGTAGTATCATTTTATAGATAATAATAAGGTTATTAGCTAGTAAATAAAATAGTTTTTTTTTTTTTTTTTAAATGTCACATTAGACAATTCTTTGGTTTTTAACAAGGGAGATTTTCTTATGCGTTAAAACCAGCTAAATCCTCTTGTGCTTTTTATTCAGAAACCTCTAAATTCACATTGGGACAAGACAGTGTAATTAGCTGAAAATTACTGAGGATGCAATTGGAGATTATTTTACCAAACATAAAACACATTACACAAACCACCTGAAATTAAAAACATATAAATCTGTCAAGTAAGTGGCGGTTCATTCTGCTGTGATAAACCAGGGATAAAGTAGAAGAAAAATGAAAATGAAATCTGTCAAGTAACTGCTTTAATCAATAACATTAAAACTGACATTAATTAAACCTTAACAATCTGTTGTCATTTCTGATATTTGGGATTTAGATTTAATGTAAGTTGAGCGATGTAAACATGGCAAACATTGTAAGCTAAGCTTGGTAGATTCAAATAATGTGTGTAAAAACATTGTGAAACATCAATATCTGTGCATTGTCCATTAATATATAAAGCTTATCAGACGTTTAGGTATAATGAAGTAATACGAATAATGTATAGTTTTATACATTATATTTATCATTTAAAAATAGCTTACATTAGAAAATAAAAGACAAAGTAGGCCTCCTGGGGAAAAGGGGATGCCTCACAGACACTTTTAGAAGCTGTCATTCATTCATTCTCACCAAACTCAAGGTCTTGGCCTCTTGTTAATCCTCACAGCATCCATGTGGAATAAAAGAAACGCCGTTGCTATTTGATGTATAGTAAATCATTTAAAGTAGCGTCGCTGCACAATAAAACGTTATGAATGCATGCAACAATTCTGACTGTACAGTGTTTTCTTTTTCTTATAATGAGTTTTGAGGTAAGGGACGTTTTCATTTGCCATTCACTGACAGCCGGACAGGCTCATGCAGTTTATCAAACTTAATGTTTTAAATCCAAAATTGAAAGAGTCTCCTCATAAAAGCAGGCGTATGAGCGTGCCGCTACTTGGAAACATATTATTCAATTCGCGACATCTGATTGGTTCTTGGGATATAGTGGCTTTTGCTGTCAAAGGCAGGTGGCGTTTGACAGCTTTTGCCAACAAACTGTTATTTTCTGAATGTGCTGACGCTGAGCACAATGTAAACACTGAGCCATGTGCTTAGAAAACACAAACGTAACGCAAGACACAAGCACTAGGGGTGTCAAAATTCATTGTTTCTTCGGTGGGCCGCGATGCAGACGCGGACAATTCGGTATCGGTTCAGTGATAATCATAACCAGTTATTATGTACTGATGTCATTTATCTCATATGCGCTATGTCGCCATAGCTACATATACTATTTATACTTTGGCGAGGCAGGCAAGTGCGAGTAATTACAATGCTCCAACTACTTAAAAACGCAGAAACTGTGCACAATTTCACTGCGTGTGTGTTTGCTGAACAGTCTTTTACTGACACTGAACAGCAGAAGCCCCTATTTCACTGTGATTGAGAGAATAAAGTAAACTCCATTTCTCTTTCTCACTGTGGCCCATTTGACTTGCTTGCGTGACTTTTCCTCTCCTCTTGGGTGTTACAGCGATACTTCTGAATAGACACCAATCAGCGCCAATCAAAACCAAAACCAACTAGACTGCAGCGCTGAGAACAAAACACCACACACCAGGACAAAGGCGCGCATCCTGAGCACGCCCCGACCTTGCGTGCCTGCATCAAGCACGGCCACGACAGTCCTCACAATGACAGAAAATGAGTGCTCGACTCCAGAAAACTCAAGCCGAGCACAACATACAAGACATCACAGGACTAGTGTCTGAACTCTGCCACCAAAATAACAATTGACAAGACCAAAGTGGCAGAATCCTGACCGTAACTTAATGCTGGTGGAAAATCTAAATCCAATGCATGTAGTAGACAAACTAAATATATTTTTAAAAAATCAAGATGTATGAAAACATAAGTGGATGGTTATGATTGTCATTAAGTCATGTCTTGGTTTTTAACACTTAATGCTCCTAATATATCTTAATACATTTCAATTCTTAAAATGTATTAAGGATTATCATATTACACAATAACAACAACATAATTTGATAATTTCAGAATATTACTACAGATGGATCACTGAGAAATGTTGACAGTAATAGCCCTTAAAAATATCTTAATGGGCAGTTTGCATATATTTTGTTCAGCTTTTTTAAAACAGACTAGACTCAATATATATATTTTTGTAGATTAGAAAGTCGTTACAGTTTAAATACAAATCTAACAATCATTCTTGGGTTCGTCTGTTTACTTCTGAAAATGCCTTGTGAATGAATGAAAATGAAACCAAACCTGGTTCAGGTTTGACAAGTGTGATTTCGCCATAGGGAAGAATTTGTCAGAACTCACATACAATAGATGAGCAAGCTTTCCATTCAAGTGTCAAGTTTAGTCTTGGATCAAGGCAAGCCCAATTTTAGGTCTTGTGAATGTTGCACATAATTAGGTTCTTTTGTGTTCAACATAAGAAAGAAGTGCAAACCGGTTTAAAATAAGTGTATAATTATTAACTTTATTATATTTTACTTAATTTTATTAATTAAATAGGCCTACATCAGCATTACACCACTACTTGATCTAGGTTATTCATGGGCTGTAATTCAAATCTTTGTTCTTTAATATTCGCACTACAGCACATGAACAATCAAGATTCCTTTTTTAATTTTGCAGTTTTGGTTTTTAACCAAGAAATATTCTGAATATACCGTTGAAGTCAGAATTTTTAGCCCCCCTGAATTATTAGACCCCCAATTTCTGTTTAATGGAGAGAATATTTTTTCCCCCAACACATTTAATAGTTTTAATAACTCATTTCTGTAACTGATTTATTTTATCTTTGCCATGATGACCTTAAACACTTTTTTTACTTGATTTTTTCAAGACACTTCTATACAGCTTAAAGTGACATTTAAAGGCTTAACTAGGTTAATTAGGTAAGTTATTGTATAACGATGGTTTGTTCAGTAGACTATCAGAAAAAAATATTTAACTTAAAGAGGAAAATAATTTTTGTGTCAGAATGAATGTCAGAATGAAAACAAAACTATTCCGATTTAAGGCGTGTGGTGTTGTCACAGGCATTTGTGTTAAAAGCAGCTGTCATGTGTGGGAATTTGTGTAAGCATTTGGAATGTTCAATATGTCAGAAATGTGCTTCATGTAACAGCTAACAGGCATTATGGCCTGAGAGAAGAACTGTTCTGTATTAACCCCCTATATATATTTTTTACCCAATTTATGTTTAACGGAGAGAAGATTTTTTTAACACATTTCTAAACATAATAATTTTAAAAACTCATTTCTAATAACTGATTTATCATTATTCATGATGACAGCACATAATATTTTACAAGATATTTGTCAAGAATTCAGTTTAATGCGACATTTAGAGGCTTATTAAAAGACATCTAAATATTATAGGAAATACTGTTAAAATTCCCTTGCTCTGTTCAGCATCATTTGGGAAATATTTGAATAAGAAAAAAAAAATCTCAGAAGGGCTAATCTTTCTGACTTCAAGTGTATGTATAATTAAAATATTTAATCAGTTTTATTTATGAATCAACCTAATTTTTAGCAACATTTATTTAATTCTTAAAGTATATTCACTCACCAATTAAGAAGATTTAGTCTATCCTTAGTGTTTTTGATTATACTTTAAGAATTAAGTAAATGTTGCTAAAAATAAGTAATAAAATCAAATAATAATTATATAATTAAAATACTTATTCAGTTTAATTTAGGTTAGGTTGAATCTACTTCATTTATTTTTACTGACATTTAATTCATGAGTTCACGCTGAGTTGATGATTGATTAAAAATCGTGTTTGGCATGCTGTCCCAGTTGAGAGCCCTGAGCTTAAAAGATCCTCGAACCTGGGGCATGTTTTCAGAGC